AAAAAAAAAAAAAAAAAAAAAAAAAGGTATGTCTGTCCCTAACTATGTTTTTGAGGAAAACCCTATCTCCCAGTCCCAATACCCAACAATTGCGCGGAGCAATCTCCTTGAATCGTCATTGCAGATTTTATCTCCCAAGTATTACTAAGGGTCAGATCCCACTACCCTGGATTATTCATTTTTCACCCTCGATTACGAAGATCAACGGTCAGAAATGAAGAATAGGGGCTGTGGGATCTGGCCCTAAGTCCCCTGAACTTGCTGAAGCCACCGAGAATGACGAGGACGTGTCATTCTTCCGCTTGGTACCAGGAAATTCCCCCCCCATAAACTTCATCTAGATGGGGGTTGCCTTCTTCATGACCATGACATCAGGATCGGGATCGGGATCGGGATCGGGAGGCCTCATCGTCTCTACCTTCTTCCCCCCAATACAATGTACGGTCATTATAGATACCGCTATAATGACCGTAAGTTGTACTTGAGGCATCTTTCAGTCTAGATACCGCTATAATGACCGTACGTTGTATTCGAGGGAAGAAGGGAGTCTCCTCCCTTCGATCACTAACGAATAGTGCCGCTCTTCAATGACATGTACTTTGCTACATAGCTCTCCTCTTCATCCTGGGACAATAGAACCGCACCGGCCCAACACTTGACCAGGTGCGTTTGCTTCTTTCCAGTTGAAGTGGCCCTGAGCATAACGCCAATCTCCGAATACGACCAAGTGTACCCTCGACGTGTCTGCTGGAACAACATTGTAGGAAGCCTGGTCAAGACTTGGACTTTTTCCGGAATGCATCTGACTGTGACTGCGGCCAGAAGCAGTCGAAAAAGTCCAACTGTGAACAGAATACACTCCCACCGGAAAGGAGCAACAGAAATAAAGGAGAAAAGGATGAGAACAAAACCGTCGACCGTGTTCTCTTTTGGAGCTAGATTCGGATTGTGTCCGGATCCGAATCAGGCCGCTGCAACAACAACAACGTTGGTGCGTACTCATCCATTTATTCCTTTTTTTTTTCAGTAAATTACTATTGCAACGTTGGTCCATCACAAGGCTCGCGGACCTGAACGATGTCGGATGCAGTGATGCCAACCGCTGTTTTCCGTTCCACAGAGAGAGAGAGAGAGAGAGAGAGAGAGAGAGAGAGAGAGAGAGAGAGAGAGAGAGAGAGAGAGAGAGAGAGAGAGAGA